TGTTGCAGTGTTTGATCTGCTCAGGAACAGATAAAGGTGCTGCATTTCCCTGCTCCCTCTGGAGGAGCAGAGCAGCTGACAGGGAAAACATCAGCTCAATCCACTGCTGCCTCAGTGATTCTTCTGGGAGGTGTTTGAGCTTGTTTAGTCTGTGGGAGAAGCCTTAGGAGGTGGTGAAATGGGTTGGGCTGATGCCTCAGGGTATAGATTTTGTATTTTTCATGTTCTGTGCTGCTTTAGTGTGAGGGTCTGGGGTTCATATAATGGGATGGTGAGCTCTGTGCACAGAGCAGGGAGACAAAACAATTCCTGCTCCAGCTGGGCACCAAGGACAAATGATCCAAATCTCAGCCCAGGAGCACAAACACCGTGGGCTGGAGAGAGAAAAACAAGCAGGGTGGGACTGCAGGGGCTAAAGCTGGAATGGGACAATGAACTGCAAGGTGCAAATGGAGCAGAACTGATCCCAGGGACAGAGCCCGTGCCCAGCCGTGCATTTTGGGGCCATTTTGGTTGATCTTGGGTGCAGCCCTGGCTGGGCTCTGGTGCTGCCCAAGGTGCATCCATGGAGGAGATGCTTTGAATAAATCCCTGCTTTATTCTGGAGCTCCATCCAGCCTCTGCTCTAGGGCAGCCTGCACAAGGCATCAGTTTCTGGTGACCCCAGTGGGACCAAAGCCACAATCCCTGGGGGCTTAGGGAACTCAAGGAATCTCCAGGCTTTTTGTAAGGAAAGCCCTATGGAGACCTGGGAGCTCCCACTGTCCCCAGAATGAGCTGGGAACTGGGAGGGAGGATGGAAGAAGGGAGCTGCAGAGAGGAGTCTCCTCATGCTGCATTCCACTGTTCCCACCATTCCTGGGGTTTTTGGGTGATTCCTGCAGAACCAGCAGGTGCTTCCCAAGCACAATAGATCCCATGGAGCAGCAGGTGCTGAGGTTTGGGGCTGGCAGGGAAATCAGTGAGAAAAGGGCTGATTTCAGCAGGAATTCCTTGGATGGAGCTGCAGTGGAGCAGGAGAAGCTGTCAGTAAGCTCAGGATGAGGCACCATTATCTGTAACCCAACCATGAGGTGCAGAATGGAGCAGCCGCTTGGATGTCCTGGGTTTGGGAGGCTGGGAAGGGATTTGTTTTATTTTTTGGGTTGTCTTTTTTTTTTTTTTTTTTTTTTTTTTTTATTTAACAGTGAACCATTACTTAAGACCCTTTAGAGGGAGTAGAAAGACAAGCTGTGCATGAAAAGATCAGCTCTTTAAAATTTTATTACAGTGATGCCATTTAGGAGAGAAAATTTGATAGGCAATCATATTTTTCATGTTTAAATCCAACAAAAAAATTGACTGATTTTAGGCAATGTAAAGTAGTTTTAGAAGTATTTTTACATGGATTTTTAGGACCTACCAAGCTGTAACTACAAAAGATTTGAAAGCAGTTCATGTTGCATTTACTGCACTAAAACCCTGTTCAAACTTTTCTTTCACAAGTTGGAATATTTTATGCTTTTTAAGACTAAGAAAGCAAATCAGGATTAAATCCTAGACTGGCTTGGATTGGAAGGGACCTTAAACATCATCCCCCAATAAATATTACCTCAGCTTCATATACTGCTTAACCAAGCAGGTTTTAAGCGGAGACTTTAAATGAATATTCATTTTCTTTTCAGTTCCTTTTATTTTTTTCCTTTTTTTTTCCCCTACTCTGCAGCACAAAGGTTCAGTTTCTGATCTTAGGGCTGGCACAGGACTGCTGGCAGGACACCAACCTGCATAAGTGCTCACTGCAGGTGCAGGGCTCCTGGTTTTGGCAGAGCAGCAAACCAGACCATTCCCAAGGCCTGGAATTCTGGAGCCTCTCCCAGAGCAGATCTTCCACTCCACAATTACCTGGGGGATCTGGAGTTTAGGAATTGTCTCCATCAGATGATCTGGTTGAATTCAGGGCTTGGATTCTGGTCTGCAAAATTGCAAATGTGTACCTATTTGGAAAATATTTTCTTTAGTTATATCCATGTTTGTGCTGAACTTCCCAGTAACAGCAGGTTTTTAGGGAGGAGGAGGATTAAAAACATGGCTGGACTCAGTTTCCAACCTGGATTTTGCAAGAAATATTCTGTTTTATGCTTGCAAGATCAGATCTTTATAATGGAAATGCCACAATGCCAGAAGATCATTTACCTGTATCTGGCAGGAATCCCCAAACACTTTGATTTCAGCTGGTTCTTGCTATTTTGCCCTGGGTTTTAATCAAAACCTTTTTAAATGGAGACAATACCAGCCAGCCACAGCTCATCCTGACTGACATTTCCAGCTCCAGCTCTGCCTGTTCACGTGTGGAATTTTGTGCCCAGACTCTGTGTAGACCCAAATGGAAGAAGAGGCAGCACCACAGTCAAAAATACTTGAAAATGGGTGTTCTGCTGCTCCTTTCTGCGAGCTGCTGCAGGGCTCTGGTAATCATCTCCCAGTGCTGCAGGCACAGCGTTTGTTGTGTGGATTCTCACTCAGTAAAATGTGTATCAAACACTGGCACTTCTGGTGCCATTCATATTTATATTCACTAATGACTCAGGCTCTTGAAAAATCATGCTGAAATTATATGTTCCATGGCTTTAATTTCCTCTTGCTAACAAGGGAATGATTTGCACTCTCTTGTTTGTCCTCCTCCCTGCCACAGCCTGGAAACATTGCTCAGTTTCCATGCTGAGTTTCACAGGCAAAGCTGGATTTTTTTGGTTTGTTTTTGTTTGGTTTGGGGATGTTGGGGTTGGATTTTTTGGTTGGGTTTGTTTGTTGTTTTGGTTTTTTTTTGTTGGCTTGTTTGTTTGTTTGATTGGTTGGTTTGGGGGGTTTTTTTGTCTTGATTTTTTTGTTGGTTTTGAGGTTTTTTGTGGTTTTTTGGTTGGTTGGTTGTTTTTTGTTGTTGTTTGTTTTTTGTTGGCCAGTTCCCAAATTTCAAGGTTTCCAGTGTTTGTCTCTAAAATACTTTATGGGAAGCTGTACCTTTTTATCCTACAGTGTAGGGTGTGGAGCAGATAAGCTTCTCAGAGACTCCATGAACATAGGACCAACATTTGTATATTTATTTATTCCTGTAGTACTCTAGGATTGGTCTGTGATGTTTAAGAACCATGTTGCACTCCTGCTTTTCCCCCAAAATCCCTCCAGGAAACCTATAACCAGAAAACTGTTTTTTTAAACATTGTTTAAGTCAAATGTTCAAATTCTGCCTCTGTTTGTCTCTTTTTTGTCTTTTTTAGTTCCTGTATCATCATCTTACCTGAGATGAGGCTTTTCATTTTTTAGCAGCATCGTTTCATTTTGATTCCTTGGGAATAATTTCCAGCAGGTGCAGGTGTAGGAAGAGAAGGAGGAGAGGAAGATGCCTCTCCTTTCAGCCAGGCACTGGGGAGGAGAATGAAAGGCTTGATGAGTTCAAGCCTGTTTTATTTGATGAGTTCAAGCCTGCTTTGCTGAGGCCCAAAAGCAATTTGAGGATATTTTCCCAGAACCCATCCAGGCTCTCGCTGCAGTCTGAGCACATCCATTTGAGTGGATTTCTCTCTTCCCAGCCCCCTGTTGCTCACAGGGATGAAGGGAGAAGAGGGGATATGAGCTGTTTAGTAAGGTGATGCCAAGGTTATGGCAGAGATGTGAGTTTGATGCCTCAGGTTTTAGTTTTTATATTTTTCACATTCTGTGCTGCTTTAGTGTGTGGGTCTGAGCTTCATTTTTGGGGATGGTGAGCTCTGTGCACAGAGGCCAGCTGGGAGGATGGGATTTGATGCAGCTTTTCTGGAAGAAATGGGAATTGTTCCCTTTGTTGCGGTGTTTGATCTGCTCAGGAACAGATAAAGGTGCTGCATTTCCCTGCTCCCTCTGGAGGAGCAGAGCAGCTGACAGGGAAAACATCAGCTCAATCCACTGCTGCCTCAGTGATTCTTCTGGGAGGTGTTTGAGCTTGTTTAGACTGTGGGAGAAGCCTTAGGAGGTGGTGAAATTGCTTGGGCTGATGCCTCAGGGTATAGTTTTTCTATTTTTCACATTCTGTGCTGCTTTAGTGTGAGGGTCTGGGCTCCATATCAGGGGATGGTTCTGATGATGTGCAGTTCTGAGCTCTGTGCACAGAGCAGGGAGACAAAACAATTCCTGCTCCAGCTGGGCACCAAGGACAAATGATCCAAATCTCAGCCCCAGAGCACAAACACCGTGGGCTGGAGAGAGAAAAACAAGCAGGGTGGGACTGCCTGGGCTAAAGCTGGAATGGGACAATGAACTGCAAGGTGCAAATGGAGCAGAACTGATCCCAGGGACAGAGCCCGTGCCCGGCCGTGCATTTTGGGGCCATTTTGGTTGATCTTGGGTGCAGCCCTGGCTGGGCTCTGGTGCTGCCCAAGGTGGATCCATGGAGGAGATGCTTTGGATAAATCCCTGCTTTATTCTGGAGCTCCATCCAGCCTCTGCTCTAGGGCAGCCTGCTCAAGGCAGCAGGTTGATTCCAGGTCATGTGTGGCTCAGGCTCCTTCCATACTCCTTATATTAAAAAAGAGCTGAACCTTGATACAAGAGGAATGCTCTTGTGCTCAGTGCTGCAGAAAATGGAATAGAATCCAGCAAGAAGGGCAATACCACTGTGCCAACAACAATCACTGGTGTGCCAGTGAGAACCAGGTGTTGCTCACCTCAGTGTGTTCTGTTCAGTACTTCAAGCACAGCTTGAAGTGTTTGAACTGTTGAAGTGTTTCATTTATTGAAGTGTTCATTTCAATTTGATGCTTTGGGCAGTGCAGTGCAGCAGTTTTAGGGTCACCACATGTCCTGTGTGGTGGCTTCTGGAGCCAGTGACCATCAGCCAGGCAGTTCCTGCTGGCCATGGGATTGAGCTCATCTTCCCAGCCTGATTTAACAGCAGTGGGTTAGTGTGGGGTGGGAACATTCCTGAACATCAACAGGAGCAGCAAGATGTGGATACTAAACCCTGTGTCCTCTCCCTCTTGGCACAGCTGGTGAAGGGGCTGCAGCAGGAGCTGAACCGCCTCTACTCCCTGTTCTGCTCCCGGAACCCCGAGTTCGAGGAAAAGGGAGGGAAGGTCTCCATCGTGTCCCACTCCCTGGGCTGTGTCATCACCTATGACATCATGACTGGCTGGAATCCGGTCAGGCTCTATGAGCAGCTGCTGCAGAAGGAGGAGGAGGAGCTGGAGGAGAGTTGGATGAGCTACGAGGAGCGGCGTCTGCTGGAGGAGCTTTACCTGACCAAGCAACGGTAATGCCCCCACTGCCAGGGATCAGGGGAGATAACACAGCCCTGGAGAGCACCCTCTGGGTGTTTGCAGAGCCCTCCAGGGCTGTTATCTTTGGTGGCTGGTGTTCTTCTGCTGGGGCTGGGTGATAATGCCAAACACAGCACTGGGAGCTCTCAATCCACACTGGCCCATGGAGCGGTTTGGGTTGGAAGGGACCTTCAAGATCATCCAGCTCCAACCCCCTGCCATGGGCAGGGACACTTTCCACTATCCCAGGTTGCTCCCAAGCCTCATCCAACCTGGCCTTGGGCATTTCCAGGGCTGGGGATGCTGTGGTGCTGTGAGGCACCCATTGGAGAATCTAAAATTAGCATCCTCAGTCGTTCAAGTGGGAGATGACAAATGATGAGTCACAGGCATTGGTTCCTGCCTGAAACCAATCTGAGTATTGGTGGTTCTTGGGAAGCATTAATTTAGCCCTGCTGTGGTGGCAGTCAGGATGTGTCTCACCAGGGATGGGTGCAGGATGTCTCTGTCAGCTGCAGGGCTGGACTCAGTGCAGGATTTCTGAGAAAAGGGAAGTTTAGAAACCTAATGAAGTGTTGCAGAGATAAGATGACCCTTCAGGCCTGTCACAAACATGTAATCAGGGGGAAATGGCCACTTTCACACTCTGCTCCAGCTCCTTAGGCATCCCCTGAAGTGCTTCCACAGAATCCCACGTGTCATTTGACACTGGCACTTCTGCACGGAGTGAGTGGCTGTCCCTTCAGTGTGAAATGATGGGAAATAGACTCCTGACATCCTGTAACTTCTAGAATTCACTGGCACTGGGAACAGTTCTACCCATCCATACGTGTGCTTCACATTGTAGCGGCTTTTTAATTCAGGCCAGCTAGAAAAGCAGGTGAACAACCTTTTTTTCGTGGGGGTTTAAAGGGTGGGGCGCCATCCTCCAGAAATTCCACCTCCATACAGAGCTCCATAATGCCCAGACCATTTCCTGGGGCTTTGTTGTTGTCTGGGGGGGTTTAAAACAAAATAAAGCAGGTGATTTGGCTGCAGAATCACCAAGGAAACAGGAGGTGAGTCAGCTGCTCCTGAGGAAGGAGGGTGGGCAGAGGCTTGGGGGGGTGAGCAGGGGAATTGTCATGTGTGGATTGATTCCTTCTGTGGCCAGAGAAACGGGATTTGACAGACATTGACTGCTGATGAGTTGAGCTGCTCCAGGAAATACTGACACCATCCCTCTCTCTTCCCAGCAGACAAAACTGTTGGACCCCACAGGAATGGCTGTTTGGATCAGAGAGGTTAAAGCTGCATTTTTTATTGGATCTCAGAAAGATCTCTATTTTCTAGGTTGAGAGAGATAGAAGAGAGGTTACATGAGTTAAAGGCATCCACCATATCAAAACCACCTGTCTTAAAATTTAAGGTATGTATGTTTTAAGAGGTTTCTGTTGAATTTTTCTGCTTGCTGTAAAAATACACCTGCAGTTTGAGTCATTCTGCTTACTTTTATTTTTTCCCATGACCCTAGACATGATTTTGGCAGAATAATTTGGATGTTTTATGAAGTGTGTGTGCATATATGTAAAAATTTTGTTGCATTCATAGATTATGGTTATTTATTGCACTTCTGTATTTGTAATAAATTTTGAGCAACCTGGTCTGGTAGTGGGAGATGTCCCTGCCCATGGCAGGGAGTTGGAATGAGCTGAGCTTTAAAAGGTCCCTTCCAACCCAAACCATTCTGGGATTCTGTTATATATGTTTTTATGAAACTATATGTAAAAATATATGTGAATATATAGATTACAAATAATTTTGATACATAAACCTAGTTATTATACACACACACACAATTCTGTGGGAAGGTAAAAACCATTTGGCAGATTACATCAATCACATATTTTAAAGAGTTTCACTTCTACTCCATTGAATAATCCATCTTCCTTGGGGACTCCTTCTAGCATGTCACATCTCTGAGCAAATCTGATTGAATTTCCTCCAGGAGTGGATTTTCCTTCCAAATGATTCTGCTCTGACAGTTAGCAGTGTTTCAATCTCATGAAGCAGCTTGCTTGCTAATCAGCTGTACAAATTGCTAGAATTCCTTATCTTTGGGAAAAGGCATTTTCCAGCTCCTGGGTGGGATGTGTAACACTCTCCAGTTGCTCAACTCCATCCTGAAGTATTAAACCATAAAAATGTGACATGATAGATGAGAATTAAGCGGATTATTGTTTCTTAACTTGCCATTTTTCTTTCCTTCTGAGTTCAGAAGGGCTCCTGGAAGCCAAGGTCAATGTTGAGCCATAAAAAAAGAGGAAACCAGCCATAATTCATGTTGTCACAGCCTTTTTCTTTTCATCAGTGCTTGAAAGCATGTGTCAGGCTATTATCTCTCCCATCAAGGAAGCTGGAGTCAGGCTGGTCCTCCCCCAGCTCTAGGAAAGAATATTCTTCACTCACTTGGTTTGAAACTGAAGGGTTTAAAACTGAAAAGCAGCTGAAGTTGCTTTTTAGATGGAGAGGAGGGAAAAAATGGGGAAGAAACTTTAGATAAAGAGGACTTTATCTACCTAAACTGATAAGCTAGATCTGTAATCTTCAGGCAGCATTTCCAGTGCAGTTCATCCTTTTTCTTGCCCTTCCTGACAGGGAGATGTTGTGTCTCTGTGGGGTCTCACACTGGTGACTCCCATGGCTTGAGGCAGAGCTCCAGAGGGAGAAGCCTTCCATGGAAATGATGGCAAGGGAGGATTTCAGCAGAGTGGCTGGAACAGGATTGCTCATCAGCAGAGCAGGCCAGCTCACTGAGGGTGGCTGGTTTGTTGAAAGAGGACAGCCTTGTTCAGAAACCACCCACCCATCCCTTGGCTCTTCCATGGACTGAAAAAAAATCAGGGTTCCCAGGATGGGACAGAGTCACTGGTGCCACATGAGGGAGAGTTGTGCTTGATGTTGAGCAAGCACGAAGTTGCTTTTGGCAAGACAAGTGCAGGAAGAAATACAGCAGCTTGCTTGGTTCATGCTTAGTATTAGAGAAAATGAAATTATTGACTCCACAGGGAGGAAAAACTCCACAAAACATGAAGAGATGGGGTGTGCTGTACTGTAATAAAATATTGGGCAAGCCACAAGAGTGGGAACTTTAGGGAGAGGGATCTTTGTCTTTAATTCTGCTTCTCCTCAGATGGGATAATGGAATTACCTGCTGGACCAACAGGAGCAGTGGGAGTTTAAACCAACACCTTGTTGTAAATTTAAGATTTAGAATCACAGCCTTCTCCCCACCAACCTTGGAAGAGGAGTTGGAGTTACAGGGTGAGGGGCTGAAGAACATGGGAACATGGGGCATGGTGTGACACCAAACCCTTCATGCCTCTGGTGTACGAAAATTGGGAATTTTTTATTTAGGATGAATTCCAGTCATGGTAGGGAAGAGGAGAGCAGGATGTGCCTCAGCTGCTCCTTAAGGCTGCCATGGAAATGCATTTAAATCTGGCCTTGCAATGTCCTGGCCCAAAAGGCTTCAGGGTTCCTCAGCACCTCTCTCTCAGGCAAGGCTGGAGGAACCTGCCTTGTGTACCTCCTGTTCTTTGTGCCCAGCACTGAAGGGCTAAAGGGCTCTGCTGCCTCACTTCTCTTGGCTCATTCAGCTTTTTTTCCTTCACTTAATTATGAAAATACTGCAGTGCTAACTTGAATGGATGATTGCTTGGCTCAGCTTCTGCTTAAAATACAAATAAATTCATTAAGTCTTCTGTTTATGAATCATAACCAGGAGAGGAGTTCTCTCAAAGGTCATTTCATAAACACATCTCCTGTGTTGTTAACATTTACAGGAAAATGCTCCACTCCTGATTGCAGGAGAAACAACCAAACTTAATAAATATTTTCTTGAAAGACTTTGATCTTTTATTCCCAGTAATATAATACAGCAGCCTGATCTTCAGCCACCTTGCAACAGCACTGACAGTCTAATGGCTGCAGATTAAAGCATTTGGGGTTAAGAATCATAGAATTAAGGTTGGAAAAGACCTGTCCATCACTAAGCCATGTCCCCAAGGGCCACATCCACATTAAATCCCTGCAGGGATGGGGACTCCAGCACTCTTAATAGAAATGACGGGACAGCAGTGGGACAAAAGCCACATACCTTGTAACCACTGAAACCAGTTACCTTTGGAGGGTTTTCCCAGTCCCTTTTGAGTGTCCTCTGTTTAGTGCAAGCTGGCAGGCACTGTGATTCCTCCCTAAAGCAGAAAAACCGTAATTGTGCCTTTCAGGTGCTTGACACAGGGATATCAGATGGACAGGGTTGGAGGTTACTTATTCGATTTAAAGGATTGCCCTGGGAATGTCTCTTTCTGTTGTGTTTGAAGATGAAAAAGCTTTGTGTCCAAGCTGCCAACACACAAGATCTGTGTGAAACTTGGGCTGAGGAAAGGAAAGGAGCTTAGAGGAAAGGAAAGGAGCTTTGCACCAAGTGACAATTTTAATGACAGAGCAGTGCTGTGCTGCTTGTGACATGGAATAACCATGCTGAAGGTCGAGTTTTTACTTTTTCCATCAAGTTGGGACTTATTTTGGAAGGAAGAGGGGTGGCACCAGTGCCAAGACAGAGGAGGAGGAATGTTTTGTGCAGCACTGGAATCCAAGAGATGAAAGGGACCATTATTCCCCTGCCTTCATTCCATGTGCTGACATACAGGGAAGGCACGTGGCATTCCAAGGATCCTCCACGTGCATTTAGCAAGAATTCAGCAATTTCTCTCGCAGGCTGAGCATTTGACGATGGTAAAATTAAATTTTCAAGTAAGAAAATAAAGGCTGAAAGGTCATTTTGATTTAGGGAAATGTCTTTTACCACTGAGTTTTCCATTTGATGGTTTTAGGAGGCGATGCCTGAGGGTTGGTAGTGGGGGGTCAGAGTTGTGGTTGTCTGTAATGACCCCAAAATGCAGGTTCAGTGACTTGTCAGATGTGGCAGCTCAGATTTACTCAGTTGGTGTTGGAGGCAGGAGTTGAGAGCGAGGTCACAGCAGCTTTGGGTGACATCAGAGGGTCCCAGTGGCTGTTCCTGCTCCTGGGACATGGTGGCACTGGGGACAAGCACCGTTCTGTTCACTTAGCACCAGCTGTGTGTAGCAAGAAGATCATGGAGAACTTGGTTAGGAAGAGAATGAGGAGGACTGGGAGGTCTGGGAAGCTCCAGGAGAAATCAGACTCAATTCACTGGGTTGGGAGAGACCTTCAAGATCATCGAGTCCAGCCCAGCCCCAACACCTCAACTCCACCCTGGCACCCAGTGCCACATCCAGGCTTTGTTTTTCCTTTCGTGTCTCCCAAAGTCTTCTTGCTCCATCCTTTCCAGTGCTGGTGGACCTCTCTGAGTTCAAATATCCAACTTGATTTTTGCTTTTAGCACCCCAACAGGCAGCCAAGGGCAGTTTAACCCTCATTTATTGATGTTATGTTGTTCTACCCTGTTTGGACCAACCAAGACTTTGAGTCCCTCAGTTGAAACCAAGAAATGAAGAGAGAAACCAGATGCAGTGTCAGGAAACATCAATTCCATCCTTATTAAATCTCTCCCCAGGTTGAGAATTTCTTCTGTATGGGATCCCCCCTGGCCGTGTTCCTGGCCCTGCGTGGGATCCGTCCCGGCACCAGCGGCAGCCAGGACCACATCCTGCCCAGAGCCATCTGCAACCGCCTGCTGAACATCTTCCACCCCACAGATCCAGTGGTGAGTCTCTCACTGCCCTCCCAACCCTCTGCCCTGCCTGGTTTTAAGCTCTGGGATAACGTGGGATCTTCAAAGTGTGTGACTCAACACGAGTGTGTTCCAGCACAGGATTATTTGTTCCTGGTTGTTATACAATGGCTTGGGGTTTGGAACTGTAGAATTACATTTCCTACAAGTAATTGCCATAAATAACATATATTTTGCTTCTCTTTTCATAGTAATAAGCATAAGATTTGGGCTTATTCTGAGTTTTTTTTTCCCCAAAGAAATAATCCTTTCTCAGACAAGGATTTTGTGTTTAACTTCCTGGCTTCCATTAAAATATATTTTTTTGCTGTTTAAAAAGGCTTCACGAGCAGTTTACAAGATAATATAGAAAAGCAAAGACTGATTTATTTTTTTTTCCCCCAAAGGATCCTACAAGTAAAAGTTTGTTGATAGTATTTGGGAGAGGATTATTGGTGTAGCTTTGCCTTTTCCTTATTCCACAGCAGCCAATGTTGGCTGTTACCAAATCAGTTACTGGATCTTTGATCTTCATCCCCTTGGTAACTTCTCTTGCAAATTAGATTGGGAATTTCATCTACAACAGCAATTTGGGGATGCTTTCCTATTTAAAGTAGCTGAATTTAAGTATATTCTGACTTCAATCCAAACATGGTCACGTCCAGCTCCAGCTGCTCCAGAATTTTCCTGGATTATCAGGGACAATTGGTTCCACTCTGCAAACAGTAACTTCACTTAGTTTTAAAAGAAAGAAATGCAAGATGCCTTTCTAAGTGGACAAAGATAAATAAATAATCAATAGGAAAATATTTTTTAAATAAACATAACTCATGGTTTGCACAGGGATCAACAAAGAGCCATCAAACAAAATGTTTACATAGCCAATTCCTGTTTATTGTGTTAGAATCAGCTTAACTTCACATGAAGTTTGTTCTCTCAGTGAAGCCATCTGCTAGGAACCTGTGTGTTGGTAACAACATGTAGTACAAGTGTTGTAATTCAGGTGTTACAGAGATGTGCAAAAGTGAGCTCACCAGCAACTGCGCACTGATAAATCTTCCAGGCTGTGAAACTGTGGTGGTTTCTGGGGTCCCCATTGAAGGAGGGAAATTGATGAATCTGACTCCATGTTCTTAGAAGGCTAATTTATTATTTTATTATCTTATATTATATTAAAGAATGCTATACTAAACTATACTGAAGAATAGAGAAAGGATACAGACAAAAGGCTACAAAGAATGATAATGAAAACTCCTGACTCCTTCCAGAATCCTGACACAGCTGGCTGTGATTGGTCATTAAGTTAAAACAATTCACATGAAACCAATCAAACATGCACCTGTTGGTAAACAATGTCCAAACACATTCCAAAGCAGCCAAACACAGCAGAAGCAAATCAGATAATTATTGTTTTCATTTTTCTCTGAGGCTTCTCAGCTTCCCAGGAGAGAAATCCTGGCGAAGGGATTTTTCCAGAGAATATGGCAGTGATAGTGAAACTAAAAGTGAATCACACTGTAACGCCACCACTGTGTCACCTCCTAGGCATTGTTTAGGAGAGGTATTCCGGATTTGAGGTTGGAGGGAGCTCTGGATGGGAAGGAAAACTGATTTTTTTTTTCCCAGTCTGTCCTCCCAGGACTGATCTTCACTCCGAATTCCCTTTCCAGGCCTACAGATTAGAACCCTTAATCCTGAAACACTACAGCAACATCTCGCCCGTGCAGATCCACTGGTACAACACAGCCAACCCCCTCCCCTACGAGCACATGAAGCCAAGTTTCCTGAACCCCAGCAAAGAAGCTACCTCAGCCCCGGAGAGCGAGAGCGCCTCGGCCGCGCCCAGCCCCACCACGTCGCCGGTCATGGTGCGGCGCCACTACGGGGAGTCCATCACCAACATTGGCAAAGCCAGCATCCTGGGTAAGGAGTGTGCCCTCCTGTCCTTCTGGGCTGGGAGGGGAGAGGCAGCGCCTTGGGGAGCTGCTGGTTCTCAGCTTCTTTTTCTGCCTCTGCTGAGGTTGGGGTTGAAGGGGCTGGGGATGGTGTTTCGTGTTCAGGCTTGGAGGTTTGTTATTTCTTGTCTGTGTTACAAGTGCTGAGTTCTGCAGCATCCTAACAAGCTACAAAATGGCTGTCTTTCCATAGAAGGTGTTTTAAGGCTAAACTATCCCATTAAGAAATGACACCTGAATTATTTTCACTTTTAACCCAATCACTAATCACTCAATCAGTCTGCATTGCCGACTTTTCTGTTCAGTTACACAAAACCACCCAAACTCATGGAGAAGAAGGTGAAGAGGATGGACCATCCATCTTCCTCCATATATATTACTGTTCTAAAACCCCAAACTCTCCTTGTGATATCACACACTTCTAATCAAACTACACACCCATAATCCCACTGCTATCAATCAATTTTGGAAGCTTCTCCACAGCCTCAGGTCAATGCAGTGTTCTCCTGGGGATCAGAGCCTGTCAGCACAGAAAAGCTGAAATTTTCAGCATCCAGAGCTCCAACAGGTCATGTTCCCTCTGTCCCTGGGAGGGGAGAGGCAGCACCTTGGGTAGCTGCTGGTTCTCAGCTTCTTTTTCTGCCTCTGCTGAGGTCGGGGTTGGAGGGGCTTGGGATGGTGTTTCGTGTTCAGGCTTGGAGGTTTGTTATTTCTTATCTGTGTTACAAGTGCTGAGTTCTGCAGCATCCTACTAACAAGCTGTAAAATGGCTCACTGTCTTTCTATACAAGGTCTTTTAAGGATAAACTGTCCAATTAAGAAATGACAGCTGAACTATTTTCACTTTTAACCCAATAACTAATCACTCAATGAGTCTGCATTGCCAACTTTTCTGTCCAATTACAAAATACCACCCAAACTCATGGAGAAGGTGAAGAGGAACCTCCACCCTAAAACCTCCATCTTTTATTATATATATTACTATTTTAAAACCCCAAACTCTCCCTGTGATATCACACACTTCTAATCAAACCCCACAATCCCAGTTCTGTCATTCCATTCTGAAAGCTTCTCCACAGACCCGGGTCAGTGCAGGGTTCTCTTGGGGGTCAGAGTCTGTCAGCACAGAAAGTCTGGAATTCTCATCATCCAGAACTCCAATGTTCCCTGATCATGTCCCCTCTGTCCCTGGGTTGGAATTGGAGATCCTTGGGGAGCCTTGTTGCTCCCTGGGGTGGGGTTGCAGTCCTAAGGAAACTCGGCTCTGGAGATGAGATGGGAGCTGGGGGTGCTCACCTGGAGAAGAGAAGGATCCAGGGAGACCTTGGAACTCCTTCCAGTGCCTCAAGGGGCTCCAGGAGGGCTGGAGAGGGACTGGGGACAAGGGAGGGAGGGACAGGACACAGGGAATGGCTCCCAGTGCCAGAGGGCAGGGATGGATGGGAGATTGGGAAGGAATTCTCTGTGAGGATGGGGAGGCCCTGAGGTTTTCCAGAGCAGCTGTGGCTGCCCCTGGATCCCAGCAATGCCCAAGGCCAGGCTGGACAGGGCTTGGAGCAGCCTGGGATGGTGGAAGGTGTCCCTGCCATGGCAGGGAATCAAAACTGGCTGAGCTTTAAGATCGCTTCCAACCCAAACCATTCCATGATTCTGTTCCTGTCCCTTGCACAGAATCAGAGAGTGGCTGCGGTTGGAAGTGACCTCTGGAGATCTTCTATTCCAACCCCCACAATCCCTGCTGGCAGAAGATGGGTTCAGTGATTTCTGTAGGTGTCTGGCTTGGTTTAATCCCAGCTGACATTTACTTTGAAATAAAAACCAGTTTATGTCCATTGGAGTCATAGCTTGGGGGAGATTATTTAGTTCATGCTATTGCTGCCTTATTTTTGTCTGTCTCATTGAAGTAACATCCTGGTGATTTAACAATTTCCACTCTGCTTCATGGGGAAAAAATTAAATTAAAGCTTGTCTTCTGATTGCATTTTCTGCAGTTGGCCAATAGCAGAAAAATCACACCATGTAACCCACTACAGTTACCTTTAACTCATGATTCCACAATAGGAAATTCAGGCTGGTTTCATATAAAGTCTGCTCCTTTCTGGCCTTCTGAGTCAAAATAAGCCCTGGTTTAAGTGAGCTTAAATTCCCTTCACTGGAGCTTATAGTTGATCATGCACTTGCAGTTTTTGTTGACTCAAGGCTTTTCTTCAGCTCCCTGTGTGGGATTTGGGAGAAGCCTAGTGCCAGGAGTCTTCCCAATCAAATAAGAATATAAAAGAAGTTTTTCCTCAAGTAGAAATATGTGGTATTTCAGAGCAGAGTGCCTTTTTGGGGGCTTTCTATGGTAACTTGAATGTCTTGTCCATGAGGTGGCAGCAGAGTCGGGATAAAACAGGACAAAACTACTCTTAACTTTTATATCCCTCTTCCTGAGCTACCCAAATAGTCCTTTTAAAGGATGATGTAACATTTTTAAAGGTCTGTTACAGCAGTGGACCTAAGAGAAATAATAAGAATATAAGAAATAATAATATAATAAGAATAAGAGAAATGTCTTAAATGTGCTGTTGGGATTTTTAAGTGCAGAAGGCACCAACGTTGTTAGAAAGCATTTTTGTCTTACTCTTAGAATTTATGAAAGAGGAATCACAACACATCCTTCAAAGTACCAGATTTCTCTCTGCAGATGTGTTTCATGCTTCTTTTTTCCCCCTAAACACAGCTTCCAAATCGCAGCTTTTGCTGTAATGAGATGAGTTTGGGGATGAACAGAGCCCACTCCAGTCAGATGTTCCCACCCTAGGAAAGCAGCAGGAGTGTTTCCCATCCCTCAGCTCTAGTTAAGGGGTGCTGCAGTGACTTTTATTTGCAGTGGCTTTAATTAATTTGCAGTTTGATTGATGAATCTTGGGTGTTTTCTCCCCTCTGTGCTGGATGCAGGAGCCGCGAGCATCGGGAAGGGCCTCGGTGGGATGCTCTTCTCCAGGTTTGGCAGGTCCAGTGCCACCCCCCAGACCATGGAGGCAGGAAAAGATGGCCCTGAGGGGGATGAGAAGAAGGCCACGACTGTTGGGACCCCACCTCTGCCCCACAGCAGCTCGGGATTCCTCGAACCCACAGGTGAGGGGTGCCCGCCCTGTGGGTCCAGGGAAACAAGAGTGGCGTGGGGGCTGGAAATGCCATAAATGCAATTTGCTGTTGTGGGTTTGCCATAAAATAATAAATGTTGAATATCAAGGCCAGCTTGGACAGGGCTTGGAGCAGCCTGGGACAGTGGAAGGTGTCCCTGGCCATGGCAGGGGTGGAATGAGATGATTTTTAAAGTCCTTTCCAACCCAAACCGTTTTGGGATTTTGTGAATCTGTTCTTGGGTTGGATTGGAAGGGACTTTAAAGTTCATCCCATTCCACCTCTCCCATGGCAGGGACACCTTCCACTGTCTCAGGTTAGCCCTGTCCAGCCTGGCCTTGGGCACTGCCAGGGATCCAGGGGCAGCCCCAGCTGCTCTGGGCACCCTGTGCGAGGGCATCCCCACCCTCCCAGCCAGGAATTTCTCCCCAGTTTCTAATCTAACCCTGTCCTCTGACATTTTAAACCCTTTTTTTCCACCTAAACTCCCAATTCCCCCATGTATTTCCCATTCTGAAGCAATCTGGATTTTAGGACACGTATGACTGGGAACAGAAGCTGCCCTTGTCCTGATCTGAACTGCTCAGGACAGAAAGTGCAATTTTAGCAGCTGGGTTTTTTGAAAAGCACAGGTCCTTCCTCTCAGGAAATTCATCCTTGGATTTATTTCTGAGCTCCCCCTTGGCACCGCTGCAGGACACGCAGGGGATTTTTTTGCAGTCGAGGGAGTCACAAGTGTCCTGTGACAGCATTCACATGATGGATTGCTGTCTGTTCATACGAATTGCAACAGATAACCTGTCTGAGTCAGTGTGTGAGGGCAGGAAGCTTGGGGTGAGACGTGAGGGAAGCAGAGGAGCAGCACAGGGAACATGACAGAGCTGCCAAGGGGGTCGTTTCAGGGGGGCTGGCACGCCGAGAGCTTCCTGCATGGATCCCACATCCCTCCCTGCTGGAAAGCCATCCCTGCTCCATAGAAGGAGAGCGTGGAGCAGCGCTGGGAGGTGAATGATGCAATCCCCACCGAGCTCTGCTCTCAGAGGGCTCTGCTGGGTTTGGCTCCAGCCCAAGCTCCCGTCACGGCCTCTCCGATGGCCCTTCCTGCCCAGATATAAACTCTCCTGTTGGAAATGGCTCTGCTTGTCTGCTGCTGGCTCCCTGTCCCTGCTGCAGAGTGGGGAGCAGCTCTGGGCAATCAGGGGGATCTGGGCCGTGCGATGCTCCCCCGTCCGTGCTCCTCCAGCCAAGAATCCAAATTCCTTCAAACTGCCTTTGAGAAATGGCTGCCTTTTCCACTCAGTCTGGGGCTTTGGCTTTTGTAGCTCAGCAGGCTTTTAGGTTTTTTGTATTTTTTATTTTATTTAATTTCTGAAGTGCCGTAGCAATAGGTTCACATTGGTCCAGCTCAAATGCAGCGGTAATTGCTTTGAATGTGGCATTAATCAAAGCAGCCATTGAAATAAAAGGGTAACTGCTGAAATATGCTTGGAATAATCAGGATATTAAAAGGGCAGAGCTGTGGAGGGATGACTTTGCAGGAAAGGCTTGTAGGAGTGGGTGTAGTCTCCTTGTATAGACACTAAAAATGCAAGAAATCCATTTATTTCCAAAAGTTTCCTAGTGGGGCCTCAGCATTTGCTGGATATCTCTCTGTAGTTATCATAACAAGTATAAATAAATATATTTATAGAGTTACTATAAGGAAAACAGCTGCTTGAAAAAAACCCTGTCTTTTCCCAAGTTGAGAACCACAGAATCATTCAGAAAAGATGTCTAAGAGCAGGATTAGTTTTCTTTTTTTTGCCTTTTTTTTTTTTTTTAACTCTCTTAGGTTTGTGCTAAATGCAGGAGGTGCATTAAAATGTATTTCTGCATTATTAAATCTTGGTTTAGTTGAGTGCCCTGTGAAATGTAAACACAGAGATGCTGAGTGTGTATTTGTCCAGAATCAGAACCCGAAACACCCCGGTGTTTCTGCAGCTCTGACATCCCTCTTGTTCCTTTTCTTGTTCCTTTCCCAGTGGAACTGGAGCACAGGATCGACTTTGAGCTCAGGGAAGGTCTGGTGGAGAGCAGATACTGGTCTGCAGTCACCTCCCACACCGCTTACTGGTCATCTCTGGATATTGCCCTCTTCCTCCTCACCTTCATGTACAAGCAAGACCAAGAAGAGACTGACAAATCCAATTTAGACACTCTCTGAATTTTGGACTGAGGACTGGAGAGGAAACTTGAAAAACCAATGGCACAAAGCAGATGTTTGACTGCAGAGCTGCAGGACCTGTGGCATGGAGGTTTCAGGTTTAAGTGCATGTTTGGGGGGTTTTCCTTTTTCTAAAGAGGAGAGGTTATTTGTATTTCAAAGCACTTTATAGTTTTCAACGTTTTGCAGTGCTGAATTAGACCTGAAAGGGTTCCAAATTCCTGTCAACATGGGCTGTACAAAGAGCCAAGACAGCATTGTAGCATCCCATGAGCAGTTGTGCTTGGGTGACATCCTTGTTAATGACCATAATTGCTGTTTAGTTCATTAAAATATTTTAAAAAATTAGTGGGTTAAAAAAAAAAAAACAAAAAAAAAAAAAAACCAACAACAAACCAAACTTAAATTGATTTCCATTAACAAAAAAAAAAATACATGTTCAGTACAAACCTAAACCTGCCATGTGCTGATGTTTTATGTACCTGTGAATTACAAGCAGTGGTGTCATTTTTCCAGGACTTTCAGCTCCACATCCAATTATTCCCACATTGGAAGCCCATTCTGACTGCTGGCTTCTGAGGTCCTGTCCTTTGTGGCACATTTAGAAACTAATGCTGAACAGAAAAAAAAAAAAAAAAAAAAAAAGCATGAGGCAAATATTTGAAATACTGTAATTATAATTTATTATTCTCTCTAATCGTTTCATTTTATTCCAGTGTATAAAACATTACTTTTTTACTGATTTCTTTTGACATAATTTAAGAACCACATTTATTTTCTACAGTGTTAAAACTTTTTCTCAGAAATACATATCTTTGTACTACTATTCAAATGAATATATGGACACTGTGGCACACTTTAAGTATTTTTTCATTAAAAATAAATATTTGTGGTTTCACACAAATGAGATCAGTCACCTTCTTCTCAGAGGTAAGTGCCTTTGCTTTTTCAGGTTCCAAAAGTGAGATTGGTTTGCAGAGGACCCAGCTGTCCTTTGTTTACCATAATTAAATCCATACATGTGTGTGTTTGTATAAAAACATATGGAGGTGTATATTTATGTGCAGGGGGAGGGAGGCACCATAAAATAAACTTGGTGAGGCCTGAGAATACCAACATTTAGATTAAGTTTGTATCTGAAGCTAATTCAGAAGTCAAGAGGGAAGTGTTGGGATGAAAGGGAATGATCTCCAAATAAAACACCAGAGGGTCATTGCTGAGATTGCAGAGCAAGGCTCTGGAGCAGGAGTGGTGGATATTTGCCCTCAGAGCTGCCTCTCCCTGAGGTATTTATGGTCTGGATGGCACATGTGGGAGCTGCAGAGCCTGAACTTGAGTTAAAACAGCAAAATATTGTAAAATAGCAAAATATTGTAAAATAGACAAAAACCCGGGCTGTGGTGTTGGTGAGTGAATCGTGTTCTCAGTGTGAGCAGATGTGGCAGCATCAGCCCAGAACAGCGGCTGGAGCTGTGGAAAGCCCAGAGTTCCCTGCCTGGGGGGAGAGGGTCGCTCTTCTCCCAAATTCTGTTTATTTGGGCTGCTCCTTCCATGAAAGAATTGGGAGTTTGGATTCTCTGTGGAGTTAGGGATTTGGGAATAATTCTGAAGGGGGAAAAACAAAGAGAAAGGGGAAGGGAGGAGTGGAGGGGAATGGGAAAATGACACAAAGAGCACTGCAGTGAACCAATATCCAACATTCAGCTGGTGGAAAAGGACCTTGCTTCGGTGTGGATCTGTGAAAAATCCCATCTGGCCTCAGAGAATTGGAGCTCTCCTGCCTGACCTGTTTACCCTGGTGGATGAGCAATCCCAGGAAAGGAAAATAACCCCCTGAGAGGAGGAAGCCTCTGCTCCAGCAAACAGCCTCGTGTTTACAGGACTGGCCCCTCCAGATAAGTTGTTTAATCAACTCCTCCTAATGAGGACAACTTAAACACAAAAAGGAGAATCTCCTTTTCTATTTAGACCATGCAAAACGTTTCCACATGTGCGTGGTTGGTGTTTCAGGGCTCTGAGCTGGGCTGTGGTGCTGCTGCCTTCTCCCTTTCCACCACTGGATCCACCCTGGATCCTTTTTTAAGGGCTGTAAACAAAAGGGGTTAATTCCTGCAATTCTTGTGGTCTCTGGAAAGCCTGCTGTAGCCCAGGACATGTTTCAGATTTATGGAATAGCTGTTCCCCTGGCCTCAGGACGTGCTGGGACTTGCTGCCTGCTCTCCATATAAGGGAGGAGATCCGACTTGGAGGTGCTGCGTGCCCCTTGGAAAACCAGGGGGAAGGCAGAGCTGAGGGGTGAATCTCAGTGCTGGGAGGAGAAGGGACAGTCAGATCCAATACCTGATCACCCCTTTGTGCTTTTCCTGGGTTGATGGGTGTGTTTGTTTGTGATTCTGCCCTAATTAGCAACTTCCTGGACCACCAGCTAATCTCCCGAGCTAAATTCCGAATATGAAACACACCTTGAAAGAATCAATGGGGACTCATTCTAAATTGTATGCAGAGATGTTAAACAGCCTTTCATCTTTTTAATCCTCCAGAAATACCCTTCCTCCTGCTGCAGAGGTGAAATCCTGGTTGCAGAGCAGGTGCTGAAGGTGCTGGGAGGGTTTGCCCCATTTCTGTTGTGGTGCAGCACAGAATTCAAGCAGGGTCACGTCTGCTGCTCCAAACTCCCTGGTCAGATGCTCTGTGTCATAATGTGGAGCTGGAATGTCCTGGCTGCCAATTACTGACTTGTTTTCCTCTGCAAGGACGATGTTGAGCTTTCCAAGCTGTGTTGACTGCTGGTTTTTCTTGAGAAACCAAGATAAGAGAATGTTCCTCACTGCTGTCAGTCCTCTGCCTGATACCGACCTGTTTTCCAGACTTGGCCTTGAGGTCTTTGTCCAACTTTGTTGCTTACAATGGTTTTGTTACAAGGTCATTTTTTGCAGATAATGAGCGTGAGTTTTATTCTTTTTCTTCATTCTGTCCCTTTGCTCCTAATTATTCTGTCCTGGTTCTGCTGCAGCTTCCTCTCCATTTGCATTCACTCCCTCCCTGCTCCAGTGCCAGAGTCGCTGCAGTCAGACACCCTTTGCTTTATTTCACCGTGGACAGTCTGGCTGGCCAACTTCAATTATTTTATCTCCTTTCCTAATTAATATTATCAGGCTGAGCTGAAACATATTTCACGTTCCCACATTTCTATTTTGCCACCTGTTTTTCCTGCTTTCCTGCTCTCCTGGTGCTCCTTTCCCACGTGCTTGGCTCTTGAGCTGACTCTGCTGTGTCTGAATCGTTGGGAATTGATTATTTTTTCCCAAGCTGAGTTCATGAATCACTGTGTCAACTGTTTGCAGTGAGTTAGTTAATGTATATTTGTGTGCACTCTGCCAGGTGAGTTTATTTGGAATTCTTTGTTCCCCGTTTTTTGTGTTATTAGCTTGGAGATGAGATTTCTGCTTCCACACATCTTTTTTCTGCTGAATTAGGACTGCAGGTGATTGACCTGTGCAGGGTCACCTCCCCATGCTCTGCCAAACATCCTCAGTCACCATCAGAAAGCTTTTACACACCAAGGCCCAGTTTGAGCTGTATTTAATAATAATTTTCCTCCAAAAAAAAAAAAAAAATTCTACAATTTCTCTTGGTTTGGCTTTTTTGCTCCCTCTTTTTTTGGGGGCTTTTGTCTCTTCCCCACTGCACTCCAACCTGTTCTGCAGTGCTGGGATTTCATTCCTGCTGGAATCACCATTTGTTTCGTGCTTGTCTGAGCAGCCTCAAGACTTTTAGGGGAAATCTTGGAATCCCTTTGACCCCCCAAGAGTCCCATCCTGCAGTTGTGATCCCCAAGAGTGCTGCTGAAAGCTCTACATCCCCTCTGGATGTGCTCACTCCCAGGGTGGCTTTGCAGTGTTCCCTCTCTGTGTTTGTGCCGCTCTGTTTGCTGCTCCCAGCTCAGCCCCAGCCCTGACAAAGCACTTTCTGTCCTTGTCGATGAATTCTGGCCCTTCAGCCAGGGCTGGGCTCTCCCAGGGCTGCCTCCTTGCTCCTCGTGTTTCTCCTGCCTCCCTGGGGGCCCATTTGAGCCCCACTTTGCCATAGAAATCCAGAGTTTTGTGTTTCCCTGCGTGCCTTTGCAGAAGCTCCGGCGCTGCCAGCGCAGCTCTGAGCGTGTCAACACTTCTCCTCTTCCAGGAGAAGTCCCAAAGCAGGGGGAGGAATACCTGGAAAAGTTTCAGGTCACCCTGGGGGCTCCCTGCTGCCACAGGGAAGCAAATTCCAGCCAATTTTCCCCTCTCTCCCTCTGCAGCTCTCCAGCAAACCTTGGCCGCTCCTTCCCCTTTGGGAGTGAGAATCTCCCTGCAAAAAGGAGCAAAAAGGAGCCATCTCTGGTGGTTTGGAAATCCTTGATGATTTATCCAAAAAGAGAGGGGCTTCATTTGATCGTTCTGTGAGCATCTGCCACGGATTAACTCCTCCCTTTGTTTCCTAAATAAAATAGCAGCTCTTGCTGCCCATTCCCTGGGGCCTCTCTGATTGTGGGCATGGGCAGAGAATTCCCAGAATGGTTTGGGAAGGGACCTTAAAGATGATCTGATTCCAACCCCCAGTGGGGCTGGGATGGGAGAGGGGAAGTCCAAACTCCCCAAGCTCCAAGGACCCCACATCCAGTTTGTTCTTGCTCATTTTATGGCTCTTCCAGTGAGGATCTCATCTCAGGCCAGTCCCAGACTGTGCTCTCAAGGGGCAGCTCTGTCCCCCCATTTCACTGCTCCATTCTGGTTTTCTGTTCCTGTTCCTGTGCCTGCCAAGCTCAGACTGGCTGGAAACCAAAGCCATGGGAGGAGGGAAAGGAGAGCAACTCTGCTGAGCTGGGATTTGGGGTCTCTCACACCTTCCCAAAGCTAAAAATGAGATTGTGCTGCCACCAGAGAATCCCAGAATGGTTTGGGCTGGAAAGAACCCTAAATCCCATCTCATTCCAACCCTGCCATGAGCAGGGACACCTTCCACCATCCCAGGCTGCTCCAATCCCATCCAGCCTGGCCTTGGGCACTGCCAGGGATCCAGGGGCAGCCACAGCTGCTCTGGGCACCCTGGGCCAGGGCCTGCCCACTGTCCCAGCTGAGAATTCCTCCCCAAAATCCAAACTAAAGCTCCTCTTGTGGCTTGGAGCGGGGCTGCCCCCATCCCTGCCCTCTGTCTCTGTGAGCCCAGCTGGGCAGGAACAGCCCCCCCTGCTCTCAGGACAGGGGTTTCCTGTTGGAAATGCAAAATGGCAAAAAAAAACCCTCTGAAAGATGAGAAGAGCCAAAACATGCACAGATGTTTTATCTTCCCACCTTTCCATCCCACTCCTGCTGTGCTGAGCTGAAAGTCCAAATGAGGAACATCCATACTTTGAGCCTTACAATGCCAATGTCCTGCTCTGATGACTTTCCAAGATGCAGCATTTGTCAGAAATGTTCACATCCCTAATTACTTTTTAAGTGACCAGTAGTGAAGTTTAAAAATAACTTTGATGTAGTTTCAGCTTTGCTAGAAGCACTTTCAGTATGGAAATTTAGGTTAGAGTAATTTGCAAAGAGGGACAGAGCACTTCCAAAACAAACTCCAACTTTCTAGGACAAAGGGGATGGGTTTTAAACTAAAAGAGGAGAGATTTAGATTGGATATTGGGAAGGAATTCCTGGCTGGGAGGGTGGGCAGGCCCTGGCACAGGTGCTCAGAGCAGCTGTGGCTGCCCCTGGATCCCTGGCAGTGCCCAAGGCTGGGCTGGACAGGGCTTGGAGCAATGTGGGATAATGGAAGGTGTCCCTGCCATGGCAGGGGTGGCACTGGATGGTTTTTAGGGTCCCTTCCAACCCAAACCATTCTGCAATTCTATTATTCCATTTTCCTTACAGCCCTTTGTTCCAGCAATCTCCCCACCACATTCCAGCAGCATTTTCCCAAATAGCTTCACAGCTTCTGGGCTCAGTGCTTTGGCCAAGGTGAGATCCTGTTGGAAAAGGATCTGGGACGTGGCCCTGCGTGCTCTGCAGGGAGGGCTCACACTGAGACCGAATATTTTGTGTTTCCAGAGCCCCTTCAGATGGGATGGTTCAGTCTCTTGGCAAACTCCTTGGGAAT